AAGAGCATTTATGTCAGCCTGCAGTGGCAGAAAAGCTAAAAGCTAAAAAAAAAAAAAAAAAAAAAACACCAACCAAAAAACCGAACAAAAAAACCCAAAACCCAAACAAAACCATTAGACCTGAATGAAGAATCATGATTCGTAATAGAAACCATGCCACTGTCTTGGTCTAGTTATGCATTTCAGAGTCTAAAAGGATGTTTTAGCAATGCTCATGCAAGGTCTTGCACAAGGTTTTAGTAACGTCAGGCATTTTAATCAAGCTCCAAGGTGTTTACATTCATGCAGCTGGCAGATCAGATTTTCTTGTGCCAGGGAAGTGGGCCAAAACTTGACTATTGTAAGAAACTGAAGAAATGCAGATTTAATTAATTCAGATAACGATGTTACCTACCTCTATTTTAGCTTAGCTGAACAAAAATCATAAAGAAAATATTGGAAGAATCTAAAGTCCCAGAAATGCAACTGACAGGCCTACACATTACTTATTATTCTGGAAAGCTTTATCCTGGGTGAAGTCAGAGATGCTCTCCTAGAGAAAGTTCATTTTTACCCGACTGAGGTGAACTTAAAAACAATGAAAACCAGTCATTACTACAAATGTTTGTAACATATGGAAAGCTCTTACAATTAATCTACATAGATTAACAACATGTTTGGAACATATAGCTACTGCACAGCAAAGATATTAGATGTCAGAAATAAACTTTTCCACTATGAACAAGATTGCTTTTTTCCCCCAGGATGAACAGGCAAGTAATCCCTTTGGGAACTCTCCCAAATCCAAACTATGCTAGAGTTACTGCAGGCCAAAATACACTGATGCAGACACACAGAGAAGAAATAAGCAGGTTTTGAGGATTGCCCGTTTCCACCAGTGAATGATTCTGATACTTTTTCTTAGCACAGAGCTACAAACTAATTTTTCCCATGGAACTAGTCCATGAGATGAGGTGCAACTAGATGAGAACATCACCCTTAGCAGTGCACACCCTGACAGCATGGACAGCATGCAAAAGGAGGAATTACAGAATGAAGAGGGAACAGAAGACGGAGCGGATTAAGGAGTCTTTAGTTCCCACTCATTCTCCATCTGCTGCAGCAACTGAATTCCACATCACTAGGTGCAACTGCAGCTGTTTGTCCTTTCCACATCAGTCAGTCCAGCCCAGCTGCTACTCAAAGCAGTACCTAAATCATTTGCTGCAGAGTCTTCAGAAGCAAGGGAGAGTGAACCAGAAGGAAAAGAATGTGAAGGTTTCTACATGCCTCGGCGGAAAATTGTTTTTCATCTAACAGCCATTAGACATTATTTGTTTTCTGATGGAAATGGGTTTTAGTAAGCCATCATTCATCTCTATATCAATAGGACAGATTGTATTGGCCAAGGTAAACAGTTTCATTTACGCTAGATAAAAACCGAGACAAAAATACTGTTGGTTTTGTGTTTTTTTTTTTACACTTGCACAGAACAGATTGATTAAAAGAAAAAAAAAAATCAAGTATTTGCAATTATTTTCTCCAGTTTTCCCTAAGGTTTCTCTTATGAGACAATTCACAGTTCTTAATAAGGGATATTTAGATTTCCAGGTCAAGCAACTAAAATGTTGCTTAATATATATTGATTAGTTAAGCTTATTTCTCATTGGACCTGGCACAAGGAAAATGCCTCTAAAGCCAAGACATTTATTTACTTTTCTCTTACGGGTCATTAGATTTTACATCACAAAGCAGATGTTTTCCATGCATCGCTTTTCCCATTTGTATGGAATTTATATATATATTTATATTACTAAAGCTGCACAGACATAATCTTTGCATGCTATTATGAAATACAAACTGATACAAGATATAATAAAGCAAAATGCAAAATTCTTTAAAACAAAAGGCTGTTTTGCTTTTTAGATCAGATTGAGGATTGCTCACCCTCACGCCGCCACCCCACGCAAGGAAAATGTAACCTTTCAGCAGGGCAGTATCAGTGCATCCCTTATCCCTAGAGATTTCGTTTTATTTTGGACATTACAGACATTCCAGCATGATTCTGAGTGTCATGCACTTTTTGCCACCAAGTGACTGCAGATCCTCAATCAGCAAGCCTCTTTGCAATTGCTGGGAGAAGAGAGAGAGTCACACTGGCATTTTGCTCTGTGAGAAGATAATTTTAAAATCTTCCTTGGGCTCTTTAAGACCAAACTAACAGCTCATGACAGAGTTACTGTTAGAACCAGTGGGTCCCACAACAGGAGACAATGGCAGGATGACATCAACTCTTCCTTCACTAATCTCTCTGCTTTGCAAGGGTGACCTTTTACCTGGGGTGGGGTTGAGACTGAAACTGTCATCACATTTCAGGATGATTATCTCCCAGAATTATCACTAGAAATCCCTTGAATTACCCACATAAAAGGTGACATTGCAAAACTTTGCTAGGGTCTGTGTTTCTGAACTATGTGCTAAGTTACTCATTCTGCTTCCAGCTGTACTACTACTCCATTGAAAGCCTCCATGCCCACATCCTGTGGCACAATTTCTTTGTCTACCAGACCTTTTCAGAGAAGCGCATCGGTGGTAAGAGTGTTCCAGGTCAAAGATACGCACCAGTACCACAGGTCCCATGCCACGAAGTTCTTCATAAACCTACTTAGTCCCACCTTAACAGCAGTTATACAGCTGTCTTTGTGTTACACATTACAGGTCAGAGCAGAGCAAAAACCAGAATTGCCACAGATCTAGCCAAGGTACTGTCCTTTGCTTTTCTAAGCTGAACAGCACAAACCTTTTCACCTCTATTATGTTTTTTTATTAAAAAAAAAAAAAGCAGCAAAGCCTCTGAGCTATGAGAACAGGTTAGCAAGCATGGTCTGGCCTCAGAATTACATGAGTATCTCGCCTAAGCATTTCCACTGCAATCAAGGGCAGTGATAGATAGGAACAGGAACTGCCCAAGTAGCTGAAAAAGCACCAGTGGAGGAAACAAGCCCTTCCCCAGCCCAGATTTCAGGAGGAAGTGGCACAGGAAGTCACAGGTCAAAACTGCAAGTATTTTCCAGCCAAACAAAGTGCAACAACGCACTGACTGAAAAACTATAAATGAACCTGTATAAAAGACTGAAGAGAAGTGCTGTGGGCAATAAAAGACAGGTGGGTCCTAACTGTAAACAAGACTTCAACAGAGCAAGATCTCCTTGTGAAAGTTACCTAAAAATATGGAATTAAATGGGAAATGGCATAAAATGCCTCTGTCAAACATAGGTCCTGCCAGGCTCACCCTGTAACCCACTTTCTAGACATAGGTAGTTGATTCCTCTGGACTTCTGAAAAAAATATGAAATAATGTTACACAGAATATCTAGAGAAGGTGGGAATAACAGAAAGTGCAAGGTTTGTAAGGAATTTGGCTTAAGAGGAGAGAAACACTGTTAACAGCGAAAGCACAAGGCAAAAGCATGCTACCAGTAAGCCCTGCATGAATAAATGGTGGGATCAAAACTTACTAGTCTCTTTATTATCACAAAAAGCAGGATCATAATGCTAATATTTGGTGATAACACTAAACTATGGGGCATATGCAACACAGGATCTGGAACACAGAACAACTGAGGGTCTAAGTATAAGAAAAGGAATTAAACTCGTGTAAGACACAAATACAGACAACTGGTGGTTCAGGGGAAAGGGCAGAATTTGGAGACGATAGCCACTGTGATCTCCCAAAGTGATGTGGTTGTGAATCCTAGGTTTTGTCACAGATTTATTTCCAGTAAATACAGAGAAGAAGTTCTGCCATGGTGAGAAGTCCTTACAAGGCAGACTTGAACAGGAACAGAGAAGAGCAGGTAGGGTGACTGGAGGGAATGGCAACTCACCAGGGGTGGGACGACCAGGATTTGTCTTGTCTAGTCTAACAATATAGAACTGCAAAAGTGTCCACCTCAGGCACTGAACTTTTCTTCCTTTCTCATATTAAATGTCAAGAACAATTTAGACTTCAATATTTTAAAGTCATAAGCTGGGAGACTGAGCATAACCTATGTCTAAAAAGAAAAAAAAAAAGCATTTTCTCAAACATAATTTTCTGAGAAATGAAAGGAAGTAATCTGGAATGTTAAGGCCACCCAGATACTAAAAATTTTGCTGCCAACAAAAGGGGTGGGAAAAGAAATAGTAGCTTATTATTCTCCTTGACTTCACCAGCAGTGCTGTAGGCAACACTCAGAAATGAAAAACTCTAACCTATGATATATACTGTATGACCATGTGGATCTCTGAACTAGATTACAGAAATTAAGAAAAAATCACCACTTTTTGAGGTAACCTGTTAAGACAATGATCAAATCCAGCAGCTAACAATTTGGTTGTGTAAATAGGTAAGGAAAAATGTGCATTTATACCTCTTAATTATCAACAGTGCTAGGTGGACCTAAATAATACTGCTCCCAGATGATCAGTGACAGAAAACCAAAACCAGCATCAGCTACTGCTGTAACATCTAAATACCCCTATGCTGCTGCTGTTGAGGCATGCTCCTACTGTTGAGGCATGCTCCTACATTAAATTTGTCCTCATTTAAACAACATTTCTTGTTTAAAAAATGAAGCAAACAAAAAGTGTACTGTTTGGCAAAGCTCTGAGGAGGTGATGGAGTAGGTTTGTAGTCCAGACACATCGCATAAACATTCAAAGCATTCGGGAACTTACCGTACTAAATTTCTGACAACAGTGTTAATGCCCAGAGGTGTATCTGTTGCTAAGAGCAAAGAATTTCCATCCATCTAGCAAGAGTGTATACTTTAAAGCTGTCCTGAACAAGCTTTCAAATAGTCAACTCTGTAGTAGGTAGAAATGTCTTATGATTTCACAGAAGGAATAAAGTACTTTCAAAAAAAAATCCACTTGTTCTTGTATTTAGTCAGTTCTGAAATATATTTCACTTACAGCAGGTTTGAATCACCAATACGAAGGGAAAAACATGGAATGGAAAGGTTGAAAGTCTTATTTACCTTCTTATATGTTTTCTCTTCATTTGACTTTCCAGCAGTAACATCTCCATTTTCAGTTACAGACATCTAACAACAGAAGTTATAAACAAAGTAGTTGCTTTAGAAAAATAAGTGTTCAGAAAACATCATACAATTTGTTAGCCTTTTTTTGCTGAATTCCAACTTTTTAGAGGACAGCAAGTCACCAAGATCAGTGACACATCTAGGACATTCTTAGAAGGATTCTCCAGACCAAAGAGACAGCACTGCCCGCCCAGAATATGTCCAGCATGTGACCAATCCTACATGACCCTGGTTTTTTTTCCCCACAGGTCTGCATGAAGACACAGCGAAATCTTGCTCTCCAGCAGACTGCATGAGATGATCTTGAAAGGTATAACGCTGGGCAAAACTATGAAGCTTGTGAGCCAGATACTCAGTGGCATGTCTCAGAGGTCCAAGGCCTTTGGCTGCATTGGCACACTGTATCGTCTCAACAGAGCAAGGAGATACTTGACATTACATCTTATCACAGCTGTAAAGCAACGCTAGATCAAGAATAAATCACTAAGAGATCCCTTGGGTCAGACACTCCAAGCATGGCTGCCAAAGTGAATAAAACAAAAATCTACAAGGATGTGTTTAAATTCTTGAATTTGCCAACACTTTCACAATGGGAGTATACATACCCTTACGACCAACAGGACAAGTCATCTGGAGCTGAGAACAAAGATCAAGCCATTCATGGGTGGTGTTGATGTTCTCCAGAACCTATTAAAAGGAAAATCTATTATCAATATGCCATCACAAATTCACATCTCACAGAATAGCTTTAGATTTCCTTCTCCTACTATTCTTCAGACCAAGTAAGAATCCAGCTATAAGTGATGCTTTTCAAACATCATCTCAAATAACTTGCATACTAATTTCCCTTTGCTGTAGATACTTCACTAATGTGGCACAAGCAACCCTACAATAAAACATTTATGTGGAGCAGTAGACATTCGTGCTCTGGAGCATTGTGAAATTACATGCTTACTTCCATGAAGACTTTAAAAATTGAAATTGAAATTGAAAAGATAAGCCATAGGAGTGACAGTTGGGAGGACTGCATACTGAATAGTCGTAGATAACAAATTCATTTTGGAAGTTTTCCATAATGGTAGTTACTATAAACATAATTTCTGTAAGTAGTCTTGTTCAGGTGAGCTATTTCATAGTTAAAATGGTTTTACTAAACATATGAGAAAAGATGCCATAATCAGATATTATTTGATACCTCTTTGGAATCAGTTCTTCCTCCCATCATCCACAACTGTTTTAAGCCACATCAGTAAAGCTATTCTTCAATTTAATTTGTCAACCACACAGAAAGAAAAAAAAAAATCTCATTTGTCTTTAATCAGTATACACAGTATCTTGTACATGACTAAAAATTGATTTTAAAAAAAAAAAATATTCCCATGCCTCTTTCTCACTGAATTTAATTTTCCAGTAATCTGAAATGTATACATAACACCACTAAGAAACTTTTCCTGAAAGGCTTCGAAACAGCATTTTCCTCCTCTTCAGTGAAGCAGAGTATTAATTGCACCCGAGACAAAAAAAAGGGGGGGGGACACAACAAATAGAAACCTGGATTTTCTGAGAACAAAACAGTGACTCCTCAGAAAAAAACTCTTCTAACATTACATATTAGTATTTTCCTACTGCAGCTAGCTACATTCTTCATTGTAGACTTCAGGCAATTAATGTATCTTAATCAATAATTCTTTTACTTGGATGTGTATTAGCATCATCCTACACATCAAACTCCTACTTAAAGGCAACAACTCAGTTTTGATAGCTTTTGGTAGTTTATCTAGCTTACCTATATTCACATATTTAATATTAATTAATACTGATCCATACTTGTAACCCTATCAGCACATGAACACAGACATCAATAACTTCTGTTAAAACAGCTTTTGTAGGGGAAAAAAAAAAAAAAGTAATTTTAATCACTAGTAGGAGGAAGACTTCTTAATCAACTGATACCTTGGTAAAACTACCAAACCCCCCCAAATTGTTGTTCTCCACCCCCCCACAAGACTATCGATATAATAAGATGTTCTACCACTCCCAAAACTTCCTAAAATATGATCATATATGCCCAGCAAAAGCCAAATATGAATGCAATATGGAAACTTCCAGTAAGAAGTTAGCTGAAGAAAACACTCATGGAAAACCAAACATAGAAGAAAAGCCTGTTTGTTCCCAGCACAGTCAGACAAATTAATTCAAGAACACTTCATTCATGTGAAAATATGGCCCTGTAACATGGCCAAGGATAGGAAACCATACAATGAGATCCCAACATCAGTAACTACCAAGTACAAAAACATATACCATGAAGAAGGTAAATTTTTCCTATCTACGTCAGTTCATTTCATTCCTAGATACATCTAGAATGGAATTATTTCAGTTCCTAATCTTTTGATAAACAGAGCACACAGCTCTGCTGAGGTTTAACACTGCAAAGACAGGTCACAACTTAAGAGTCTTGGACCAACTTCCAGGCTAAGCTACAACTATATATTTGTTTATTACAATAGCAGGAAGCTACTGTAAAGCATTGGGTCTCTGCATCTATCTGACAAAGGGCAGACTCACAATAAAGTAAGACTGGGGTTGACTGGGGACTTTGAGGAAACATTTTTTATTTTTTTGGTAAGTGAATGCATTGGGATAGAATACACAATTTTGGAATTCATCCAGAAATTTGGTTCTCATACTTCTGTGCATTCAGATAAACACGTCATTAGATAGCCACTTTCTAACCCTTAAACAGTTCTTTTCCTCCAGGATGACACAAACCCCCCAGAATGGGGCAGCTGACTCCTCAGAAAAGCACATAGAATCTTTAGAATCTCATATTAAATTCATACCAAGGATATTAAGTCCACACCAGAAAAAAAAAAATGGTGATTATCAGAATAACCATCTTATCTGCCCTAAGTAACTGGCATTTTTCAACACAAAAGTGCATTCTTGATGATGGCAGTTTGTCAGCACAAGATGTTACCAGCCCTTTCTAATTCTATGAACAGCATTTATAGTGTATTCCATTAAAAAGAGTCAAGTTGAATTCCTTGGTAGCCTTTGTCACTCCTCTGTTACAACTTTAAAGCAGCATCTTTTAATACAACTGTGAAAACTACAGCCATTTAGTTTACTGCAAAACTCACTTTTACTGCTAAGACTTGCCCAGTTATAGTTTTCCTTGTGTGAGAAAGCAGCCTGACAAGTCAGTTCCTCAATTCACTAAATGGATTTGCAGATCTGTATGGCAACATGCTTCCACCAAATTGCTTGGGCAACAGAGATTACAGCTCCAGTGTGAAACTGCAAAACTTTATTACACAGTGATGTGGGAAGGGAAAAAACTTCTAAACCAAAAATGCTCCTCAGCAGAAAAAAAAAATAAAAAAAAAAATCAAAAAAAAATCCATCAATACACATTCATTAATGAGAAACTACTCCCTAAGTACTTGTCTTCTTGTGATCTTCCCCTGCCTCAAGTGACCTGAAACCATTCAAAGCACTCTTGGAGCTATGAAAGAGTAGCTCCAAGATCAAAAGGCATGAAAAAAAGCTAACTCCCCTACTTCCTTGGGATGATAAATACTGGAGCTTGCATCTTCTAAGGCACTGAACAAAATTCTCTTGCACATGATGCATTTATGAAGTCTCCCTCCCATCTGAACTCTCTGCCACCTAATAAAATACATACATCAGCTCCAGTTTTCCCACTTAGGTATCACCCCATCTTGTCTATTTTTTCATGAAACTTGCTGTTACTCTGGACCACTGTCCAATTTAATTGACAAATTTAGGTCAACCAAAACTGCTTTCACTTTCCAGTAGAATTTGAACAGTAGGATTGTTTATAAGATTATTTGCAAAGGAAGGGGCTCGGGACACACAAAGCATCCTCTGACATACAAATTGCACACATACATCTTGTTTCCTTAGGAAATAAAGTTAAAAATATCAGCATACTTCTGGGTGTCCCTGGGAGCAGGAACTGAAGAAGGGACCTCAGAGGTTTTCTGCATTGCACTATTTTCAGAACACTCAGGAGGCCACTGAATTGTTAACATCACGTGGAAAGTGTGACCTAAATTAATTTTATTACATTTTAGCTTCTTTACAGAGCTTTTCTTTACACTTTAAAACAATGCTGAATATAATTTCAATGATTTAATTGCCTTCATTCTGAGGTGACCAGGACAATGCAGAGTGGCATTTAAGAACCTGCAAGCATTGCTAGGCAGCATGCCAATAAACAGATATAAACAAGTGAAAGGAAGCATAATTTGGTGTAGTGCACAGAGTAAGAAAAGAGGTAATGCATGAAATGACCTACCGCTTTCTCAACAGTCATCACAAGTTAATGCCCCCTCCAAAAACCTTATGTCTTTTAATGGCAGTGAACATTCTTTGCATATGAGTTGTCTCAACTGTTACATAGCCCTCAAGTGAAAACTGAGATAATGACAGAATCACAGAATGGCAGGGGTTAGAAGGGACCTCAGGAGATCCAACCCTCCTGCTAAAGCAGGTTCACCTAGAGCAGGTTACACAGGACATCATCCAGGCGGGTTTTGAATATCTCCAGAGAAGGAGACTCCACAACCCCCCCCCCGGGCAGCCTGTTCCAATGCTGTCACCCTCATGGTAAAGTTCTTCCTCATGTTCAACTGAAACCTATTATGCTTGAGTTTGTGCCCATTGCCCCTTGTCCTGTCGCTGGGCACCACTGCAAAGAGTCTGGCTCCATCCTCGTGACATCCACCCTTAAGATTTTTTAAGTATTTATGAGGTCCCCTCTCAGTCTTCTCTTCTTCAGGCTAAACAAGCCCAGCTCCCTCAGCCTTTCCTCACAGGAGAGATGCTCTGGTCCCCTAATCATCTTTGTAGTCCTCCTCTGGACTCTCTCCAGTAGCTCCTCATCCTTCTTGAACTGGGGAGCCCAGAACTGGACACAGTACTCCAGGTGGGGTCTCACCAGAGCAGAGTAGAGGGGAAGGAGAACCTCCCTTGACCTGCTGGCCACACTCCTCTTAATGCGCCCCAGGATGCCATTGTATGTGGCCACTCAGTTGTAAGAAAATACATATACAGTTCAGCTATTTATTTTTCTTTGCTTCTCCTCCTCTTCTTCTTTTTTACTAATATCCCTGACACTAGTCCATGGAATGGATTCACTACTTTGTAGCAGAAGTCACATAGCCATCTAAGACCAAACATACCTGTATGTCCCCCTATCCCATCCAAGGAGTAAAAGCTAGCATGTATTTTTAAACCAATACATCCTGAGGATGAAGTCAATGTTTACATATTGCAATGCACTGGATTATCATCAGAATCATTAGCTTCAAACCTGAAAAATTATCTTTCTCTCCATGAGTTTCCAATTCAGAACTTCCATCTGAGTCTTTAATCTCCCCAGTTCCTGTAATGCCTGTTAACCTGTTCGACCTCTGCTGCCAACTGCTGTGACTTCCACTCTTCCCAGAAGCACTGAAGGATCTCCTATGTCTTTCCAGACACCAACTGTGAAACCAGAGCAAACTTTTCACTGCATCGTAGATACAACTGATTTATCCTGCTCAAAAAAATAAAAATCTATCTTTTCTGCTTATGCAGAAAAAAAAATAATATATGTATTGTATGAATTGTAAAGGAGAAGGGGAAAAGAGCAAAGAAAAAAGGAACGGTTAGGCCTG